CGATCTCTTCCGATAAACTTGCACCTGATCCTTATCCTCCTCACTAGCCACAGCTTTCCCCACATTCTCAACCTCCATCTCTTGCCATTCCTCCTTCGCTGCCTCCTTCTCTTCCTCTTTCATCTCCATCTCTTGCTCTTCCTCTTTCTTCTCAACTCCACTCTCTTCCTCTTTCTTCTCATCTTCCCTCTCTTCCTCTTTCTTCTCCATCTCTTGCCATTCACCTTTCTCTGCCTCCTTCTCTGTTTGCGCAACAACATCCGCAATATGAGAAGCTTCCTTACCAATGTTCGTTACATCGTCATAATCAAAACAAATTCCATCATCACCCATATCACCCCTATCATTAGAATGCCTATCACTTTGTGACATAAGTTCCCTCACATTTTTCTTCAGGTCTTCGGGATCAATCAAGTCTTCGATCCCTTCATAGCGCTCCAATTTCTTGTTCAACCTATGTATCTCCTGGGAGCAAGCATCCCATTGAAGGCGCTTGCTACGCTTGATAACGTGGAGCAATTTCCAATTTATATTGGCTGTATTCCTCCAAAAACGAATTTGCTCTGCAGGTGCCAACTTATCTATTTCATCTTCTCTTGAAAAAGCATCAACGATATGCTGGGACAAAATCTGAAAAGTAAACCATATACCCTTTACCCATGTAAATCCACAAGATTAAGCAGAATAGTTATGAAAACCCATAAAAGAAAGTTAACATGAAACAATGCAAATTGAAAATGAATTAATGATAACGATAAAATATTTAACTCAATGTAAATATGATGTGATGTGTAAAGAGTCATTGCTGCTTACGTAACCCACAGATGAGCTCTTTGGTCTGCCCATCACCTTCTCTTGCTTCCCAGCCTTCTGCTTTTCTTCCTCGTTTATCTTTCTCAGCCTAGTTTGCTCTTTGGTCTGCCCATTACTCCTTTTCTTCTCTTGCTTCCCGGACGTTGGGCTTCTATTTTTCCCAAAGCGAGTGAATTCAATCTTCTTCCTGCTGGGCTCCCTTTGAGGGTATTTTCACCCCATCCAATGCTAAGTGAAATTGGTTTCTCCTCAAGTTTTATGCTTGCTTTCTTGGCCTTAGAGACGATTGTCTCCATCCTCAGAGATCCAGCCGTCCCTCCGACCCTTACCCAGTTGGTCATCGGAGGCTTCCACCTCAAGTTTAGGGCTGGTTTTTTAATGCCAGTCATCTCAAAGCACCAAAGCTGTCAGAATCGAAGGATCAATTGTCAAAATAGTTAACTTGCATAACTCTTTCTTGAACTACAACATACTAAATAGCTAGCCTTCACTTCACTAACCCATGTTAACATTACTGGGTACATGTTACCTTTCACTTATTAATGTTAACTTTAATTTTTATATGTTAAAGTTTATGTTAACATGTTAACTTTCACCTATTAATGCTAACTTTTACTTTTATATGTCAAACTTCATGTTAACATGTTGATTTTAACATGTTAACCTATTAACGTCCAATGTTGTACATGTTTTCTAATGCCTGTTACCATGACTCCTATTAACTAGATCAAATGTAACATACAGGGATGAGCGGCATGCATTCAGGTTCGTATGTAACCCCTGGCTTCCTCATCCCTTGAACAGCAATTTGAATGCCTCTCTTCGTCTCATCAAAAATAAATTTACCCCATGCAATGGTCTTCACTCTCTCGATACTATCTACATATTGAAACAATTGTCTTGGGATGCCTTGAGAGCTGTTGGGGCACCAAATCGTTGCACATTGGTACAATATCTGAAGCAGCACAAAATCTTCAATGTCCTTATTATCAGAGGACTCTACAAGTGTTTACAGTAACTCCTCGACATATCTCCTCATGCTACCAGCTTCTGGTGTAGCCTTGGCCTTTGCCTTTGCCTTTGGCTTGGCCTTTAGCATTTCTTTCTTATCTTCAAAGTATTGCCTCCAAAGTCTGTTGTGAGGGTCTCTATTCCCGTAGATCAGCTCCCCATCAATGGGAAAGCCTGTGTGAGTATGCACCCACTCTTCATCGCTCTTGGGGTCGGGAAAAGAGAACTCATCAGTTTCGTCAGTATAATGGCTGAGCACATACTCTAGTGCACGTCGATCGCGTGCTGGGGGACCAAAGAACACATAGTGCTCAAAGTTAGAGCCCTTGTAGGCATCCCAATGCCACTTCTTCAGTTTTGGCTGCAGTTTTTGCATGAAGGAACAATACGTTCTAAGACAGGCACCGGGCCTAATATCACCTAATGCAGCAACTATCCTGAATGAACAACAATTTACTCTTAACAAGCCGTTCAACTCAACTTTAAATTACGTAACAATCAACAGAAAAGGCATTAACATAGTCAAAATCACGATTTATTAACATGATTAGCTAATAGTTGACTCTTAAGAGTAAACGTTAACAACAAACACATATTATTGACATGCATTGCTACTACCTATCAACAATTGCCATTTCCTTCAAAAAGGAACCCATAAACCACAATTAAAATCAACATCACTCATTTAAAATAATTAAATTCAAAAACCCTCAATTGATTGGGAACTTACTTCTTCTTTGACATGGACACATCCTCCGGCGAGCGTCTCCTCTTGCGCTCTCGATTTTCCTGATTTTTCATGCTCAATAGGGTTTCCATCGCCTCATTACTCTCCTCATCATCAGAGGATGACGGAACAGAATCGCTGGCGTGAGATATCAAGGCGGAGGTGGAGGGGGATAAATTTGGTAGTTCCTCCTGCGCAAGTCGTGCCGACCGACGCCGGTGACGAACGTCCGCTTCCGTTTGAATCTGGTCTACTTCACCCGTGCGTCGTTTAGGGTTCTTAGCCATTTTTCTTATAATTTTCTTCGGCATTTTCCTTGTGGGTTTTCTGGCCGCTAGAGTCAAACTAGGGTTTTCAAATTGGGTTCGACCGCTGAAGGAGATTTGAGTTTTTGGGGAAATTTGTGGGTCTGCAGAGAAAAGAACGCGAGCGAGAGAAAGAGGGAGGGCGGATTGGGGGGGACGAATAGTTACAAGGGCAGTTTCGTCTTAAGAGAGGTACTGTGCTCTCAGAGTTGCTTGGGAAATGTAAATGAGGCTGAACCGTTATTGAGTTGGGTATTCGGGGATTGATCACACAAAAAAAAATACAGAGGGGCTATACACAACCGGATCTTTTTTTGGGGGCCTTATAACATTTTTCCCAAGTAAAAAACAAGAAACATTTAGAGGTAAAAGGCATCAAAGTTTTGCACGTCTTGCATGGGAAATTTGGGGAATCTTCTTCATTCTATACAAGACAAGGTATTTAGATGCAAAATATTAGAATTTTTTAGAGCAGATATATAAGGGCTAGTTTGGGATTGTTGTATCTTAAAATAAGTAGCTTATAAATTGACTTTTATAAGCTATTGAAAATCTCTGTTTGACAATCATATATCAAAAGCTGGTTTTAAGAATAGTTTAGGTATATGACAATGCTGTGTTCACGGATAATTGTCAAAAGATAAATGCTATATATATATGACATATAAACTAAAAATAAGCAGAAAGTGTTTTTAAAGACTTCTGAGGCTGCTTCTAAAAGCACATCTTGTAAAGCAGAAATGACTTTAATAATCATGTACAAAAAATCACTAAACACTATTATTGTCTGTATTTCAAAAAAATAAGGAAAAATTGCTTCTAGGCCCCAAATTTATATTTTCAATATGCTCTAGCCCCTCCTATTTTTTTTAATGTTCTTTAGCCCCTCCTTTTTGAAAAAAATATGGCAAAGCCCCTCCATCATGATTCCAGCTCATTTCAGCACTTGATTAGACATGTCAGCTCATGATTAGACATATCAGCTGATTTAAATCCCGAATTTACCCTCCTCTTTCTTATGTCAGTGGATGTTAACTCTTTTCTGTAAAATGTTAACTCTTTTCTGTAACATGTTAACTCTTTTCGGTAACATGTTAACTCTTTTCTGTAAAATGTTAACTCTTTTCTGTAAAATGTTAACTCTTTTCTGTAAAATGTTAACTCTTTTCTGTAAAATGTTAACTTTTTTCTGTAACATGTTAACTCTTACAGATAACATGTTAATTCTTACAGCTAACATGTTAACTCTTACAGCTAACATGTTAGCTGTTAGAGTTAACATGTTAGCTGTAAGAGTTAACATGTTACAGAAAAGAGTTAACATGTTACAGAAAAGAGTTAACATCCACTGACATGAGAAAGAGGAGGGTAAATTCGGGATTTAAGTCAGCTGATATGTCTAATCATGAGCTGGCATGTCTAATCAAGTGCTGAAATGAGCTGGAATCATGATGGAGGGGCTTGGCCATATTTTTTTCAAAAAGGGGGAGGCGGGGGGGAGGAGGAGGGGTAGGGGGAGGGGAGGGAGGCGGGGCGGAGGCAGAGGGAGAACGGAGGAGGAGGAGGGGTGTGTAGGGGAGGGTAAAATGGGGATTGTGTATAAAGTTTGCATAGGAACTTGGGGAGAGGGGCTTTTAATAAATTTTTCAAAAAGGTGGGGCTGCAGCACATGTTTGAAAGTTAGGGGGCTAGAGCATATTGAAAATATAAATTTGGGGCCTTGAAGCAAATTTTCCAAAAAATAATTAAAAACTCAAAAAAATAAAAAATAAAAAATAATATCAAGCTTGCCTAAGTTCTCAGAATCTATTCCTTTATAATAATTGGAGGATCCAAAGATTTGCTATTCATGCTACAACGAATTACTGTAACATTATTATTTTAGAATAGATGAGAACCGTAGCGTTTAAAGATGTTACTATAATATTATTACTGTAGCACAAACGTGATGCCAGAGCAATTAAAAAATATTACTATATCATTTAAAAAAACAAAATTACTGTAGCAAAAATAAAAAATGGGTCATGTTTTGCATAGGATGCACACTAGTATAATCTAAGCTAAAATCATAGAAAATAGCATAAACAGTAAAATGATATTTATTTATCGCTCTATTTTCCTATATTACCCTTTTCCTTCGACCAACACGCGCCGTCACCCTCCACATAGCCTCCAAAAACCCTAATCCCGCCTTCATCTTAAAAACCCTAAAAGAGAAATTTCGAATCTCACACCGAATCTCCCACGATCGAACCGAATCCATTCCCTAGATGCGCTCACTCCCGCTAGATTCCAGTTCTCTTCAGTAGATTTGGAGCTAATCGAGGGGGCGATGGCGAGCGATTCCGTTGAGATCGAGGAGAGGAAGAAGACGATGTCCCCGTGGAAGAAGACCCCATCGCCGCCGGAGACGGTGGCGGAGGAGGAGAACCGGCCTGTGATGGGGTCGGAATCTTGGCCGGCGCTTGCCGATGCGAAGACAAAGGGAACGGTAGAGAGCGCTTCGAAGAAGACCGCGATCCCGCCTCCGATCAATGCAGTTCCGGCAGCCGTGCCGGCGCCGCCTCCAGTGAAGGTGATGCTTTGGATTGTTTACCTTTTGCTTGATTGCGTGTGAATTCCAAAAAAAGATGCAAATTTGCCAACTTTATTAAATTGGTTTTAGTCTATAGAGTGTTTCTTGTTAAATTAATTAAGGGGAAGCGAGGCCATCGAAAAAGACTAGTTCTGATGAGAAGTTGGGCATTGGCCTTTAATTACGTGGTCATCTAATAATGCAAAATAATGCGAATTCACAGGAAAGATGTGAATGCGGCAAAACTTTTCTTAAACTGTTTTTAGTGTGAAGTACACTAAGGGGAAGTGGCCGGTGGTCAGTAAAGAATAGATCTGATGGGAATTTGGGCATTTAACTTCAACTTTGGTCGTTTCATCAGTTCCATGAAAAGGTGTAAGTGTGTCAAACTTTATAAAATTGTTTTTAGTCTAGCGGAGAGTTCGATTTATTAGATATGAAGTAAAGTAAGAAGAAGGGAGAGGGGTCAGAAAAGGTTTACTTTTTTATGAGAAGAAGGGAGAGGGGTCAGAAAAGGTTTACTTTTTTATGAGAATTTGGCATTTGAGTGACCCTATGATCATCTATTAATACAAATTCCCGAAAACAATGTAATACGAAGAACTTATTTAGATTTACTGTAGTCCATTAAAGTTTTCAATTGTTTCAATTATTACATATGAAGAAAGGCTACATTTTCATTTGTTTCAACTTGTTTCAATTAACTCTACGCACTGTTTTAAAAAACCTCCGCCTAGTCCGCTTAGGCGTACGCCTAGACCTAGGCGGTACCTAGGCCGCCTAACTAGCGCCTAGGCGGTATTTAGGCTGCCCATCTAGATTTTATGAGCGTTTAGGTGAGCATTGTCTGCTTACGTGGATTGCACCCTGTAGGTCTTGGTTATGATTTTGTGTTATAGCCTACACGTCCTCCAAATTCCATTAACCTCCAAATATGAACACCTTCACTACGTCCTCCGACCTTCAGCAAAACCTCACCGACCACAAATTAAATGAAGAAAAAAATCCGCCTAGACACCAGTCCGACATCTAAGCTTTCTATAACAATTGACATTCACTATCAATTATTGTAATTAAAAATAAAAAAAACATCTTAGGCTCTAGCATTGTTAATTATTATTTTGGCTATTTAGTATCTAAGTATGCATGATTTATTGTGGAACTAAAATTGCTATATTTTTAAAAAAAATTATATGAATTTAATACATATTTTTATTAATTATTATAATTAAATAATTTAAAAATAATTAAACGCCTGGGCGCACGCCCAAGGGTCTAGGCGCTAGGCGCTTGCTTAAACGTCTAGTCTGCCTAGCGCCTTCTGTAACATTGACTCTACGGTAAGAAAAATTTCTTTCTTAGTCCATGGAGTTCTGAGTCAACCAATTGTTGGATATGTGGATTGTCAGGCAGAGGTTACGATTATTTATTGGATATGAAGTGAGCTAGGGGAGTGGGGTGGGGGAGTCCAAGAAAATCTGGATTTGATGACAATTTAGACATTGAATTTTATCTTTATGTGGTTGTATTGAATATTTTCTCAATATTTAGGTTACAGAGTTCTGAGTAAACCAAAGTTTAGAAACATATATTAGCAGCACAGGTACCCTGCCCTTACAAACTTTTTTGTTATGAGTCAGAAATTTAAACGTTTGGTTTTTGGGAATGGGTAGGTGAATTGGATGAATAATAACTTCTTTTGGCAGTTTTTTTTAAATAAGTTTCTATGTCAAGCGGCGGTGGAGATTGTGATGCTTTTCTCTTCCTTTCACCATGGTGGAACGTTAAACCACAACTAACTTGAGAGAAGAAGAAAATTTGGGATTTTTATTGGGAATGAAATTCTAAGATACCCCAAAACGGTAAGACGAAATGTTCAGCTGTTTTCATCAAATCATCAAACTGATGGTTGTAACCGCCACATACATGGCCTTTTTTGTTGGGTAGCACTTTGCATTTTTTTTAACAAATGAAACATCCTTTTAACCCTGCATTAGCAAATATCAACACGAAGGGAAACTACAAAAGTAAAGATTAAACTAGATGAATATAGCAGCAATCACTGTAGTTAATTTTCTGCCAAATTGTTATCAATAGCAAAACAAATGAAGCTGTCTTCAGCAATATTCTACAATATTTAGTCTAAAATCTAATGTGACACAAATCCAAACAATATCAAGTTCTAACTTGAGAGACTAATAAGATTTGGATTAGTCCTACATTGCTTGGCTTATTAAGTACTATAAGTAGTGCAAAGCTAAAGTGGTGATGTTGGTATTGAAATGTTTGGCTGGGATTAGGCTAGTGAACGCTGGGCTGTATGGGCGTTGCCCTGTGAAAACATTGTGGTTTGTCAGAGCTAATCCTACATTGACTCTAAGTTTGTTATGGGTGTACAGATTTGGGTTCCCTCCCTCCTCTAGCTACTAGCTAGTGGTTAAGGGTGAGTGGTTCTAGTTCTCTAGCATGTTTGTCCAATATAAGTACAGGGTGTCAGTTCTGTGTTTAATATTTACCTTTTTTACTTTTCTTTTATTTTCAAAGGTACTTATGAAGAGCAAGGTCTGCCCTTTTGCTCCATAATGTTTGTGCTACAGAAGAATCCCTTAATTCTTTTATCAGCTTCTTCTGTTCATATCAGTTTTCTCTGCATTAGGTTGGGTGGTGGTGATGGGGGGAGGGCAATTGTATCTGTCAAACTTGTACAAAGAAAGAATATCATACATTTTGGTTGTTTTCCATATCTGCTATAGAAAGTCTGTAATAGGTAAAAATGAGAAGACTAACTTAACAAAAATATCAAGAACTGGCTACCATGAATTTCCGTTTTGAAGCATTTTCAGCGGATATAGTGACATTCTTAATGAAGTAATCTTTACCTCACGATCTCCACTATTCTTTGTTCTATTGTGAAAAGTTTTGATTTTCTAGCTAATTCTGTGTTTATTTGCCATATCAGCATATCTTGCTAGGTAATCTTCGTTAACTGTTTTTATATCTAACAGGAGCACATCTTTTTACAGGGATCAGCTGGTCTGCGCAAAGGTGATGTACCTGGAAATGGCAACCCTGCCAACAAGCAGCGTTACCAGCATTCTCATAGACCTGGTCCAAAGCGTAACCCCCCTATAAATGGCATGCCACCATTCCCTGTTCCTTTGACTTATCATCAACAGCCAGGCCCACCAATGTTGTATGCTGCTGTACCTCCACCACCACCTTTTATGGTTCATGAGTTTGGTTACCCGGCACCATTTACTACTGAACCCCACATCATGAAGTCTGGTGAAACTCTGATGCCAGCTCTTATCCCTACTGGTCAAGCAGGTGGATTAAATGGTGATAGAAATTTCCGACCGCCACGAGGGGGTTTAAATAATTGGCATCCCTATACCAGTCACCATGGTAATAGACCACATAATGGGCATGAAGCTGGCCCTCATCCTAATCAGACATGGCGTCATCAACAAGCATTCCGTCCAAGGGATAATATGGATATGCCACCTGGTATGACCCCTGGACATATCATTAGGCCAACTCCACAGTTGCTTGGTCCGGCTCCAGGATATATGAGTAGGCCTGGCTTCCCTGGTATTCTCTCAAACCTGCATGGTCTTTTTCTGTTGTTATTATAATATTATTGTATTTCTCCCCTTTACTTCGCGTCCCGTGTCTCTACGTGCGTGCATCTCTTGGTGCTGTCACCTGTGTGCATGCAATATTGTAGCGACAACCGTATTATGCATTCTTCCTTATGTTATAATTAGCATGACAGAAATGCTGATATCTAAACTTTGCAGGTCCTGCTCCTATGTATTATGCTTCTGCCCCTCCACCCCCGGAAATGATGAGGGGCCCTCCTCGCTTTGTTTTGCATCCGCACCGTCCTTATCCTCTTCCAACACAAGAAACACTTGCTTTGAGAGCTAATATTGTAAATCAGATTGAGTACTATTTCAGGTGTGTATATCTTATATTTACATATGAAGTGTTTTTTGTTCAAGGCATATGAATGTACAGAAAAGTCGAGTCAGGATGGACTTTTTCTGAACACTGGGTTTTGTGCCATTTAAACGTCTTATGAAAAAGAAAATATTTTCTGTTAGCATGAGCACCATTAAATTTTTGCTTCTTAGTGAATGACAGATAGACATATTGTAATATTGTTGTATTTTTTCCATGTAAAATTATTCATAACATAAACTATCCTTCCTTTGCAGTGATGAAAATCTCCAGAAGGACCATTACTTGCTGCAGTTGCTAGATGAGCAAGGATGGGTTTCCATAAATAAAATTGCAGATTTTAATAGGGTATATTTTATCATGATACCACTCTCTTCACAGTTTTATGTTCATGATTTCTTCATTGTAAGTGGATATGTAATCATGAACATCGTCATTACCATCATTAATCCTTTTCCCACTGTAAATGGGGTTTGGATGTGAATCATATAAGTCTTGACCAAGTTTCAACAATCAGTGGATTGGTGCCAAATTCCTAAAAGTACAATGAAGACCGAGCTTCAAATTCCTTGGACTATCCCAGTATATGCATATTATAACGTCTTTGAATATTATTGGTCATTTTAATATTTTTTTCCATTCTTCAGGTAAAGAAAATGACAACCAATATACCTCTTATTCTGGAAGCGTTGCAGAGCTCTAATTCCATAGAAGTGCAGGTTGTTTCTCGCTCTTTTTTTGTTTTATTTCATCCTCCAGTTTTCTTGTTAGTTTGAAGCCATCCAGTGATATTTATTTTCCTTGAAAATGGCACCCTTTTCTCTTCTATCTTGTCATTCCTTTTTTGTTTGTTTAGGGTGACAAAATACGGAGACGTAATGATTGGTCAAAGTGGACCCTAATGTCTGGTCATTATGCAAATTCTCAGCCGACACACGACCAAGTTTCTAGCAGTGGAAAGAGTACTGAGGTTATCGACGAGAGCAGCATTTCTGTTCCTCGTGACAGTAATGGTCTTAAAGCAACCAATCCATCAGCTAGCAATGCTTCTAGAGGGGATGCTAAGAGTCACTTGGAGTGTGAAATGGCTAACAAGATCTTATCTGCTGATGAACCCCTAACATGCAATGGGGAAAGTGAGGACAAGTGCAGTAAATTTGCATCTGAACCATTTGCAAAGAGTGACCTAAATATTGGATGCAACTCTTTGGTAGAGAATGTTTCAGGTGGCAACATTTCTGCCATTGGGAACAGTGGTTCAGATAATAATCGAACCTTTGAAAGTCTGCATCGGAAAGCACGTCTTTCTAGTCCTGACAGTCCTAAACTTGAGAACTTAAAGATGATATCAGATGGATGTGGGACTTCATCAAACCTTGGAGGACTCTTGAATGGTTTCGAAGATAACTGCCCTAGCTTCACAGGCGATCCAAGTACATTTTCGTTTGATGAGGAGCTTGAACACGCAACAACTGAGAAATACCATTCTACATTAAACAGAAGGTAATTTTTCATCAACTCCTTTTTGTTGTCCAACCAAAGGGGAAAAAAAGAAATAAAAAGACTACGTACCATGATCTGTAGTTATTATCTCATGCTTATCTTCTGTGATTATTATGCTTCATGCACATTAGTAAAACTAACTTTGTTCGTTCAAATGCCTCTCTTCTGTGTCTTTTTGTAAATTAGCCTTATGAGGATTATATTGTCAGCATTTTTCTTAATGTTTGATACAACTACATTCTTTGTAGTACTAGGAAAGCCTTATGCCTTTTCTAACAAAGCATGTATAGTTACTCAGTGGATTTCACTCTGATGTTCTTTGCTGTCTTGAATGAAATCTTTAAGCAGCATTGACGATGAGGATGACAGGATGGACGTCAATGACCAAGATGTGCAGAGGCTTGTTATTGTTACCCAGGTATGTTCATCATTACCCTTCACTTTGCTGTTTCTTTGTCTACTCGTTTTTTCCTCTTTTCAAATAATTCTTGTATCATTGTTCTACAAGTTCTGAAAATTTAATTATATGATTTAAGATGTGGAAATTTGCTATTGTTTAAAAGAATTTATACTTTTATAATAAGTGATATTTCACAATTTTGTTAGGTGGAATCATTCATAATTTCATATGCATATTAACAATTTTTAGACGAGGCTTGCTATGACATGGTTTTATCCCTTAATTTTGAAACAGCTTTCTTCCTGCTACTGGCTTCTTGCTGATTACTTGTGAATTATTTAATATTCTTATAGAGTGGTTATCACTTAGGTTCTAACTGGAAGCACTCAAATTTTTATCCACCTGTCAAACCAACAGCAATAACAAACAACTTTTATACATATTTTTTGTGATATATGACCATTTTTTATTTTTATTTTTTGATTCATGACTTTCTTTAATCTATTGATTCATCAATTATATAAGAATGAGGCCCGACTCCCATTAGCTTATGAAATTAATATATTCCTTTATTTCCAACCATGTTCTTGCGTACCACTGGTTCACCTACCTTGTCCACGAGTGTGTGCGTTGCTGCGTGCATGAGTGCATGTGTACACGTTTGTTTTTTTGCTGGCTTAATCTGTTTTAATTTTGTTTCTGCCCTGCAGTCATGGCAATTCTTTGTGGTGTCACATTTAATAGGCTGTATTGCATATTCAGATATGTTCTCACTTGTTGCAGATGCATTTCTAATGCATTTTTTTTATCCTCTGCATCAATTATCTACATTCTTGTTTAATGTATGCCACCTTAACATTCTGACTGGACATACCTTTTTCTTCATTGGCTCTAGCTGTTGTGAATAGATCAACCACGTCACGTTGTCTCCATATTTATCGGCGATATTTTGATAATGACATGCACCTCTTGGTCCCATAGTAGAGCAGCAGTATGCAGCCGGTTTCATGTCTATGATCATTTTTGGCATGATAAACCGTTTAGGCAGCACTCATGTGGGCAGGCTTTGACAAGATTTTGGATGTGAAAATCGGCCCACATTTTATTACTTGTCGCCTGTGTATGATTACAACTTATTACTATTAGATATTATTTATGAATTTACTGAGTCATGATGTCATTCTGTTTGATAATTTTGACTATTGTATTGACATTTGGTGTGATTAATTGGTTGTTCACACTTGACTTATTGGGTTATCAACTTATTGTAGATCCTTATAGGTACTTTTTGGAACTTATTACTCATGTTCACATTTTATTTACTTTCAGTTATCATAAGTGCTTATAGGTATTGTTTTGAAGTTATTAAAACTAATCTTCCCCTATTGTTTAATTATTTCTTGTCATCAACTATGAGTTTGTTATTAACGGGGGTGGATACATCTCTCTCTCTCTCTCTCTCTCTCTCTCTCTCTCTCTCTCTGACACGCACACACGACACATTTTTTGGGGAGCGTGTTTTCTATTTGAGTTGCTCTTATTGGTCATAAACATTCATAGAGAGAAATATAATTACTCTGCATTATAGACATAATGATCTTTCTATAATTTTCTTTTTTGGGAGTGTTCTGTATTTATCTTTTTGGATCTTCTAGTTTGGCTCATCCTATATATCTCCTCTTTGTCGCATCCTTAAGAATGCTAAAGTTCGATTTCTTGTCAACTATTTTAAAGATGACTAAAACTATATTGGGCCCATTAGCACCTCCACTTCTCCTTTGTAACATATGTCGTTTATAAATGACTCCTGTCATGCGAGCATATATGCACTGGATAAGCTAATAATGAGGCAAGGCACAATTCGTAGACTTTGTTCTTATTTATTCTAGATGTATCTAATGAATGCACTGCAAATGCTGATTGGTCGACTGGTAGGTGAGGAACTGTTTCTTTTGACTGCCGTAGAGGCTCTTCCAGCTAGCTGTACCTTCTACTTTACTGGCGATGGAGCTATACAGTTATCTCTTGCTGATAACTTAAAATTATTGTTCCATTTTGTTCGCTAAGTTATTCCTTGTCTGATAACCTAACGATTAGTTCCTTTTTTTGCTATACATATTTGATATTCTAGACATATTTGATATGCTAGCAATTATAATTATAATTTTTTAGTTCCTAAAGGTTCTCGCCATGCTTTCTGCCTGAGAATTGAATTCTGCTCAGGCCAAGTCAACGAGTGCATAGTGAGTGTAAACTCAATGCGGTTTGCCCTTAGGTCATTCATGTCATATCTAAGCTGCAGAGGATAGAACATATTTGTTCCTGTTCATATTTTTACTCATCCTAGTTCTTTTCTGATGGAAATCTCATGCTAGTTAATGAATAAGTGATATTCTATTGTATATCTGTTCAACCTGATCAGTATGCCTTCTTGACATCTGCTTTTTGTGCAACGCCCGATTGATTTATATGGCTATAATACACGTTTCTCTCACGCATCCTGTGTTCCTCTTTGAAAGAGTTAGTATTTGTTATTAAATAGGATGTTTTCTCATCTAACATGCAACTAAATTCTGTTTTACTTTTGTCTTTTATCTAACCTTTTTAGATCCATTACCTTATTATAATTTCATAATGCAAATCCAATACAAATCATGACCCATATTTTTTTTTCACTCTGATAATTGGTTTAATGAGCAATGAACAGCATTATACATGAATGTCTGAATTTCTTGTATATTATACTGTTATAGATAATATTGGATTTATTTTTCAGACCTTCCTACCTCTTTCTTTCCGATTCATAATTGCTTTCATTTATATCCAATTGTTGTGTCCCTCTGTTGTCATTGCTAAAATAGGGTGAACATTAGAAATAAATGTTTACCCAGTGACATCATTTATCATTGCTTTTGGGTCATGTTCCTCAAGGGATCACACAGCTTAAGGGCATGGTTCGCACAAAATCTAACTTGTTATTTTTGAGCTCATGAAACTAAAGTCTTATTCTATTAAATGATATCCAGGAATCAAGAATAGATGGAAATAATAAATCGAGCTTGGGGAAAACAGTGCCAATTTCAAATGAGCAAGCAGATGCCATCGATGAGGCTCTCTATTTCTTCGAGCAGGTAATGATTTTTTTCTTCATTTCTCTAGGAAGGGATTTCTCATTGATATGAATGCAGGATTAGAAGTTATTGAAGCACGTGAGCCATTTGAAATAAAAGAGTAAATACATTCCATCAACTTCTGAAACGTGCTCGCCTCTTTAAATGATGATTACATTTATTTTATTTTTCATACGCAGTCATACAATTACTTGCCTCAACTGTGGAAAATGTATTACATTTATGTCCTTCACAGTTGTAGATTGAGACAATGCTTGAAGGTGTCTTGTATTCAAGGAGGATTGCTAATGAACCCAAAGAATATGCAACACAATTAAAAGGTCAACAGGAGTTTCTAATAGAGGGAGTTGACCATTTGGGATGATAACAGTTGCATCTATGACCAGAAAGGGGGAAAAAGATAAGAAAGAAAGAAAGAGAGAATACAAACAAAGGTGTAGTTGATATCCGTTAGAAGTTTGTATTATGGTGTTCTTTGTGATAGCCAACCACTGAAACTGTCATTTAATGATTAGTTTTGTACATACTGATCAATGGTCTATTTTCGTTCTAGATCACCAAAATTGGCGACCTGAGAGACCAAAGTAAGAGGAACTAATAATTAGTTGATTCAAGGAAGTCCTTCGCTCTATCTGGCTCTGGTGTTTTATTTTTTCTTTATTACCTTCTTTTGCAATTTTTAAGACTTAACTTTGAACTTGAATTTTGTTATTTGACTGTCTGATGCAATTAGATTTGTGACCATATTTTTTTAATTAAAATAGTTTGCTTTCTGTTTTTGAAAAGAAGGAAGTTTCTATTATCATAGTCCACTGTTTTACATCTCTTCAAGTGTATATGTGAGTCTCTTCTTTATTCACATGCACACAAACAATACATGCATTGTTGAAAAACCCTTGAGATTATTCTTGAAACAATAAAAATTCAAGCTTTTGCTCAGTGATTACATGATGTGTAGTTGCATGCTTTCTTTCTTTCTCACTTCTCAAGTAATATTTTTACTGTTTCACTATATTGGTTTCTGGAACCATACTAATAATCATGTATCTACCAGCTGCATACCGAGCGCTCTAGCCGTCAAAGGCATAACTCAGCGACTGAAATAAAACGATGTTCTAAGCACTCAACCCACGAAAATTCATCTCCAAGTCATACGTTGCATGTGAACTTAGGTGGAACTGCAGAATCTTCTCATGCTTGCAATTCGAGGCGGCAAAACAAAGGCAATCATAGGTTACATTCTTCAAATAAACAACGCTTTTTTCATAGTAACTCTAGGAACCACAATAACAGCAACTACAGCCATCATGGAATTGTATCAGAAAGTCCACCAGTTGGCTTCTTTTTTGGTTCAACACCACCTGAGAATTGCAGGTGCGTTCTTTGTTTTGTTTAAGATTACGCAGCTGCTGTTTTTAGTTATTTATCCTAAAGACATTTTAAAAGTCTTAATTTTTAGCTCCTCACTATCAAAGTTGAGCGCATCTCCTCACGGATTTCCTTCTGGGAGCAGTCCACCTGTGGGATCTATACCAAAATCTTTCCCACCATTTCAGCATCCTAGCCACACGCTTCTGGAAGAAAACAAGTTTAAGCAGCAGAAGTACAGCTCCTCCTCTTCTTCTTCTCTCTCTCTCACACACACACAGTGTGCCCACACCCACTCACAATATTTTTATTATAGTTGACCCTCTTCCTCTTTCACTCTGCATAAAATTTAATTGTATTTTGTTGTTACTTACTTGATGTAGGTATCATAAATTCCATAAGAGGTGTCTTAATGACCGGAAGAAATTAGGAATCGGCTGCAGCGAGGTATGACATAATTCTAAGGACAGATCAAAAACATTCTTTCTTGTAGCAGCTAGTGTATGTCAAACATTCTAGACCTCCAACTTTAAACCAATTTTGGTGGTCACTGACTCACTGTTATAAGGAACAATTGCTTCTGAGCTATCTAGCTTCAACATCATTTGTTGGGATCATCTCCTTCTCTATTCTTTATTTCTTTCCTACTTTAAGTATATGGTGATTAGTGTGTTTATTTCTGCCAAGACAAT